ACTGTCTCAAGTTGGACATAATTCCCCCACAAACATAAACAATAATTTTACAAGCTCAAACAATATGTTAAGATAGGGATACAGATGTCCTGTCAGTGGCCGATTGACCTCAGACCAAGGACTCCCACAGTAAACCCAGTTCTCCCAAGACAGGGAAGATGAAGCAAGAGATGCTGGAGAGGGGAGAATTGGCTAGCAAGTCTCAAGACAGTGGGACACAAACAGAGGCAATGGCAGTAATGTCGATCATAGGGGTGGGAAGCACCACTAGAAGGAAAGGGAGGACTTTGTATACCTCTGGCAGATGGTGGATATAAAGAGGGCTTTACCACCATGTGAGAAGGATTGCAGGGTAAACAACGTCCCTGCCAGAGTGCCGTCCCTCATCCATGGAGCAAATGGTGAGCCCAAGCCCAAGATTGCTGAGACTGAGAGGAAAACAATTGCTTCTACAGAGGAGCGAGAGCCGAGCAACAAAGGAAAACCGCTAGTGATGATGGTGGAGAAAACAGTAGAACAGAGAGAAGTTGAAGGTCCAGAGTAGGGAATGATTGACAGAAAACCAGAGAACCCAAAAAGGGGTGGAGCCAGAGAGTCAGTTGGAAAAGACAGGAAAGGAAAAAGAAGGGGGAGGGGAGGAGGAGAGACGTGGAGGGAAGGAAAAGATTGGTGGGAGCAGGGGAAGCCGAATCATGTAAACGTGGTAAGATCCTTCCCCTTGGATGGGAATGGATCTGGTTAGAAGATCCCTGGACAAAGAAATGGGAACTGCTCATGGTGTCCAGAGAAGAGGCTGAGAGGAGACAGAGGGAGGTAGTGCCAGTGAAGCCTTCTTATTGTGGTGAGAAAGGAGGCTCGAGAGTAGGCAAGGAAGATCCAGGAGGAGAGAGCCTGGCTGGGTAAGGAAAAGAGAGAGAGGGGTGGATGGCAGCGGCTCTCAGAAACAACAAGACCCCAGTGCTTGGAAATACTCGGGAGCAGGATTCAACAGATCTACGCCAAGGGCATCTGGAAGGAATGGAGTGCCCTTGCTGTGGGTTACTCAAGATGCCATATCAATGGTCTTCTTGGAGAAAGGTTTTGAACTGTTGGACTTTAATCTTTCAAACCCATTTCAGAAATCAGAAGCTAAACTCTTCCTCACACAGTTGTGCAAGGAAGAGAAGTCACGTATCCCTGTCACTGCTGAAAGTTTCCTAGATGCATCTGTAATAAACCCTGTTGGTACAATCCTTGGCCAAGTGTCATGTGTTGCTGGGTTAGATGTGGAATTAAAAGGGAAAAAACCCTTCTCAAGGTAACGGACCCTCACACACCAAAAGAGAAGGAGATTAAGGAGGAGGCACAAAAGAAAGGACAGAAGAAAAGGAAGGGCCTTATTGAAACTGTGGAGGAAAAGACAGTGGTCAGTGAAATCAAGGTTAATCCTCTGAAAGAGAGGGAAGCAAGAGAAGCGAAAGGGCTTCAGGAAATACTTGGGTGTACTGAAGGATGTCAAGGACCAGCGTTAGAGGAGGATGAAGGAGAATAGGAAGAATAGGATGACACTTGGGAAGAACGGTCTAAAACTTGCTGGGCAGAGACCTCCCTGGCGGAAGAACCAGAGCCCCCAGGTGACTTGGATCATATTTACAAGGAGGATCCCTGTGGAGGGGAGTGCTGGTTCAGCTTAGAGGGCCAAAAGGGGAAAGGGAAAGATTGGACAACCTTGAAGTCCTGTTGAAGCGTTCTTATTAGGGAGAGTGGGAGGAGAGGGAACCACAAAAAGCCAGGAAGTAAAGGCTGGTGCAAATTAGGAACCTGGGAGCTGTGAGGGAGAGGGCAACTGGCAGGAATAAGACCCCATGTGACTAGCCTAGCCTGGCTAATCACCTTTTAACTGCCTTTTATTTTTTCTGGGCTGGCGTTAAGGCCGAATCCCAAGCTATTTTAATTTTGAAACAAATAAAGTAGTTTATAAAGTGTAATGGTTGCATGGCAGAACTCTTAGACTTGAAGTTTCATGTGTTTTAATTCCAACTGTAACAAGTTGTAACTACAATAAACAACTCCCTTTTGAAACCCACACTGTTGTCTTAACATACAAAATAATGACCTCCCTCTTTGCTCCCTGTCTGTTAACTCTCTCTCTTGACCCCCTCACTCTCTTTCAACAACTGTTCTTCTCTCACTTGGCGAGTTGTGATTGGTTCAGCAAGAGATTCTCTGACCAATCAACTCCTTCTGGCTGATGCTTGATAGATTTGAGCGAGGCAGATTTGTCACACCCAGAAACTAGGATCACTCTGAGACAACTTCAGAAGCATCACCTGTAGTGTGCTCCTGCAGGCATACTGTTTCCCCCTCCAAGGGGCCATAAGAAGGGTTGATGCTTTAGGACTGAGAACTGAATGAATTGAAGAGACGGAGGGACCAGTGAAAGAACCTTGTTCAGAGACTCTGCTCTGGGACTAGAGGACTAGTAGAGAGAACTAAGAGTGCAGATAGTAATTGTGATGGACAGGTCAGCAACCACTCCTGTCCATCACAATAGAACCCTGATTCAAGAGCCAATAGCTGCACAGAAAAGGTGGAACTAGGGATATATAAAAGAATGGATGACATTTAAAGAGTGGTTAGAGAAATGAGTTAGGGTCTGTGTTAGTTTTGGAGTTAGAGTTAGGGATGAGTTAGGGACTGGTGTTAAAGAGAAGTTAGGCAGTTAGGACCAGCCTTGTGTTAGTGAAGAGTAATAGAGAGATAGGGAATGAGAAAAGAAATGAATAAATACCTTGATTGAAATGATTATAACTAAACAAATATAAATGTTACCAAAGCACAATCTACTGAATGAATAAAATGAGACCATCCATGATGTACTTTACATGATTTCTTTGGGAACAGTTTAACTGACATTGTTTAATTGAATCATACGGATTGAAGAGTTATACGTATTTGATAGAGTGAGGAGAAATCCTCTGGTGGCAGCAGAAAGGGTTGAAAAATAAATGTCAGTCCCAAAAGTGAACCTGAGTTGTGTGGAGAAACAAACAGGGGAACTGGATTCATGACAGTAATCTAAGGAAATCCCTCCTGGCTGTGTTACTCCCTCTAAGTTTAATAAAACCTGTTTTATTTTTAAAAAGACTTGTTTATGGAGACCAGAATGGAGGTTGAACTGATGGTCCCTTGGGGAGTTGTAGGCAGGAATCACACAATATATTGTTTTAAAAGTAGTAATATAATGACTTACAAATTTCTAATGATCAATGTTAATAATGATGAATCCTTTAAAGTTAGCAGCAATGAGTAATATATGTACAGTATAGGTTGAAATTCTGTTGCTTAGTTTAGTAGTTTACATTAGAGTAGTTCACATTAGAATCAATGGGGATTTCTTGAGTCAATTCCTCTCTAAGTTCCATTTATTCAAATGTGCTTATTCTGGTAGCAAAGTACTGAGATTTGGGGAGGTAAAAAAATAAATAATTTAATCATTTTAAATTTGTTTCAAATTTATCTTCATACACATCCATAATTTTAAGCTGTACAATGCTCTGATACAAGTAAATGAAGGGTCTACTCTAGTGCAACTTACTATACTAAGCAGCAGGGTTTCAGACAATGAATTGCTTTCTCTCATTTAATATTCTAAGCTCTGCCTTTTCCATATATTACATATTTCATATAAGTATTCCAGTGCTAATGCCACATATAATTAACAGTTTTTTTCTGGAAACATTAACTTGCAGAAGGAACAACTACAAATGTTTACTGAGTGCTAATGCAGGTGTTTGGCTCATAGATATGAGGCAACTAACCCATTCTGAAGCTTGGATATAACACATAATTTTCTAGAATACAGTTATTTTGACAAGACATAGAGCAGACTGGCTGTTGCAGAATATATATGTCAAATACAATGAAGGTCCCAGATGTTCCCAGATTGCAACTACTTCACACTGTTACAGTTTACAGTTGTTGTGGCCACATCATTATTTGGGAGCCAACCTTCTGGTGACAAGCCTCTCTGTACCTAGCTAGGCAAAGTAGTTAAGAGGGCAGACATGCCAAGGCTTGTATTTGAAGGCTTTCCTGCTTGGTACAAGCTGTCAGCACTTGCACTCTGAGGGCATAGCCTCTGAAAGCCAAGGGGCACTTCCACATCACAATAAGGAGGCAGAGTAGGACTTGATAGAGAAGCAGATTACTTCCCCTGAATGCCTGACAGAAACACGTTTGGGTGCAATCTATTCTCGTCCCTTCACCCCGCCAGCTTCCTAATTTGTGCACAGAAATGGATAATAGAACAAAAGGATCCCCCCCCTCAAAAAGGAATAATAGTCACTACTTTAGTTGGCCATCATTAAAACATTTGATGAGATGAAGATTTTTTTTCTAGAAGCACCATAGGCATTTTAAAACCCCATCACACTACTTAGGTCTAAGACAGTGTAGTTTGCCGATGAAATAAGCCATATTTAAATTATTTCATCCATTTTCCAGAGGGAGCAGGAGACTATGCTATACATAGAGTTCACTGTTATCCCCAGTTTTTCACATCTCTCTGTGTGTGAGTGGGGGGTGGGTGAGTGGGCTTGGAACCAATCCCCGTGGATATGGAGGAGCTACTGTATACAGTATAGTCTGCCAGTGTAGTTCAAACATATTTCAAACATATATCAAACCCTTAACTTATTCCCATCACCATCCTCAGTGAAATGGAAGAAAGTCTGTGGCAACAAAGCAGTTAGAGCAGCATTAATTTCACCAAGACTATTTGACAGTAAATATTAACCGGCTAGACACTGATGCAGAACTGTTACATAAAGGATTTCTAACATTGTGTGTGTG